GTTGGTCCTCCTGAGGGTTCCCGAGAAGGTACTTCTTGATCAGGTCCTGGAAATCCTGAAGGGTCCCATGGGGGCCACGGGAGGCCTTGGTTGACGATGTCGCTGATGTGCCCCTGGAGTCTCTGGAAACCTTCTGAGCGGGGCTTGATCTTGTGGAGCTGGTCTCTCTCCTTAGCCCTTTGCTGGGGGACTCCCCATTGGTGACTGGCAGGGTGAAGGCGCTGCTGGAAGGGAGTGGGAGGGCAGATGTCTTTCCATTCGCACTGGAAGCCTTCAGCTCGCCCAAAACTCGGTGGGCAGCTCGGCGGACTCCCAAGACACCACCCCTCCAAAGCCTGACTAAGACGAGCGTACTGGTGGGTCTGGTCGGGGGAGGAGTGGGCTGCGGCAAAAGGGTGAGAAATCTCTGGCGGACCTTGCCAGTCCAACTGGGCCTGCGCCCAGTAGTGATGCCATGGTGCCGCGGGAGCCGATGGCGGTTGGAGCGAGGCTGCTCGCTTTTGAAACCAACCCTGCCTGATCATGATCTCTGTCTGGAAGGTCGCCCGCAAGCCGATGTGCGGCTCCCAGGGGCTGGCGAGGTCGGTCTCTACCCTGAAATATTATCCAAAGAAACTGCTGATGACGAAGAAATCGATGAGCCTACCTCCCGAACATGTACTGTGGATCTCTGGAGCCTTGATGGTGCCCTCGATCCTGCAGACCCATGGGTTCCCGTTGGTGAGCTCCTCAGGGGTCATGTTGAAATCCCCTCCGATGATGAAGGGGAGCTTGAGCTGCTTGAGGAAGATGGTGATCTCTCGGACCACCTTGTTGTTGAAAGCATTGTAGCCTACCCCCGACTGTAGGTAGACTGAGCTGAGAACTATGTTGCGCTGACTGGGACGGACTATACAGGCGGTCCAATTAGTCCCTCCCACTAATGGTTTGGCCTGTCCCTTTCCCTTCATGGTGCGCGCATGCGAGTGAAACTGCTTTGACACGAATAACCCCACTCCGCCTGAGCTGCCTGCGGGAGTGCGAGCTGCTGGGCACTGATAGCACTTGTAGCCAAGCTTCCCCATGAACTTTCTAGCTTCTCCCAAACGTCCTGAAACCAGATGCGTCTCCCCTAGCATGATGATTCCTGGTTGTCCAAAGCTCGAAGCTTGAAAAGAATACTTGGCTTTCTTGTTCCAATTAGTGATATTGGCATGGTAGATGGTGGAACTGTCATGAGCCCCTGGGGGGGGGGGGGGTCGTGGCCGATCGCCACGCTCACCTGGGTCCGTCCCCCCCCTGGCCCCTGCTGCAGGGCGCGGGCAACTGCGGCTGCGGGGCTTCTGCTCATGAGTCCTGCCGCCTCCTGCCAGATCACGCCCACGGGCTGGGTCGTCACCAGCTGCGGCTGCGGCACCATCAGCACGACGGGGTGGTACTGCGGGTTGTGGGGCTGCTGCCTTGGGCTTGGACTTCTTGACCTTGGCCTTCGGGAGCAGGCCTTGAACCTTCTCGAGGTCCTCGAAGAACTGCTTGGCGTTGTTGCCTTCCTCCCCCTCCATGCCCTGGACGAACTTGAGGAGCTCGACTGGCACTTTGGGAAGTTGAACGGCTGGTCCTTCTTCGATGTCTTCCTCCATGGGGGCGCCTCCGCCCCAGCCACGGGTGGCCTCGACGCTGGCGGCTTCGAAGTTGGAGCGGGCCTTCGCGAGCTCCTCGGCTGTGGCGTCGAACTCTTCCTCGTCGGCTGTGATCTTGCTCTCCAGGTCGGTGATGGTCTCCTTGAGGTTCTCCTGCTTCTTCTCAAGGCACCGTACCTCATGCAGGGCTGTGGTGGCAGCAGCAGCTGGTGGTTTCTTCGGCGACTGGATCAAGCCCTGCATCTTTTTGCAGGCCTCGGTGCCCAGGTCGTCCTTCTGCTCGGGTGTGAGCTTCGCGAGGGGGAGTGAGAGGATCTCTTTCATCTCGGATGGCTTCTCCTGCTGCTCTTTGTCCTTGCCGCTGGGGCCTGAGGTGCCGTTGTTGTCCTGGCCCTTGCCCATGGGAAGGTCGAGCGGCTGCCCACAGAGGCAGAACATCTTCTTCCGCGCCTTGTTCAGATATTCCCATTCTCCACAACTCGAACAGACGCAGTACTGACGTCGACGTTGCTGCTGCTGCTGGTAGGTGTGCTGGTATGCCCACCACGAGTTGCCTCCCATGGCTGCTGGGATGTCGGTGTCTGATCGACGGGAGACTGGAAAGCCACTGCTGGCAAGATACACTTCGAGCCCGTGCTGCGGGGCTCTCAGCCCTTTAGAGCCCGATCGGGTTCTAAAAGAGCCTTGAGCCAAAATGGCTACGGACTCCTCCTCCTCCTCCTCCTCCTCCTCCTCCTCCTCCTCTCTCCTCCCTCCCCCCCTCCTCCCTCCGCCTCGTGGGCGCCCCGTGCTTGGGGTAGGTTTCCCGGGGTTTCGCCTCGCGCGCTTCCCCCAAACAGCCGTCAAGGGTTTTTTCTGGGGTGTCCTGGGCGGTTTGGGGGGCCCCCCAGACAAAAAACATCGAACTCCCCCCATGGAGTTTTTTGTGTGAGGGGGGCTCACCCCAATCCCCACCTCAGAGATTTTGTTCGGGGGGAGATCTTGGGGGGTCCATGGAACCCATCCTTAACCCTGTGGAGGGCTTTCCGAGGGGAGCCCTTCAAAACCTTACAGCACGCGTTTGTTTCTCGGGGGTCCATAAGGGTTCGAGGTCCGAAAGAGCAAGCAACCAACAAAAACACCTGGTAATATTTAGAAGCTGTTTTATGTTGTGTGTTGGTGAATTGCGATTTTGGCGGATTTCGCTGGAATCCTACCCTGGGACCGCCCAAACAAACATAACTTATTTATGTTGCGGGGAGGGGCGTGGTATTTGTAATGGGTTTTTACTTGTGGCGCCTTGGACCCACCCCCACAACAAACCAAGCTCTCTCTCTCTCTCTCTCCGGGCCCCCGGGGACTCCCCAGCCCCCCCAAAACCTTTTAATGTTTTTTTGTGTTGGGGCTTGTCCAAACTTTGCCATGTATGTTTTATATAGTACGTTCTATGTTGTGTAATATCATGGGATGAAGTCTACATGGTGTAAGCTACGTGGTGCACGCTGTGGGATGCAACATATGCAGCGCCACCTGCGCATGCCAATCTATGTGGTGCAAGGTAGGTAGCAAAACCTACACAGTTCAAGCTACGTGGGTCAATCCAGATGGCGACATAAAGGTTACAACCTAATTGGTGCAATACTTGGAGTGCAGGCGAAGTGATGCAAACTATTTGGTGCAACGTATGCTGTGCGATCTCTGTCAAGCCATGCGTTCACCCAGAAACGCCAGCCAGCGCGCGGTGCGGCCGCGGCGCGGCCACGAGCGCTCAGCGGACGAAGCCTTGGAAACGGCAGCCCGCGTACGAGCCGGCTACGAAGCAGCCACGGACGCCCTTCGGGCGACACCCAGATACGCCAGCAAGCGCACAGGGCGGCCACGAGGCGACCACAGGCGCCCACCGGGCGAACAGTAGACGCGCTAAGGGCGATGTACGTTTCGGTATCGTGGGTGGGATTGTTTCATGACCGAACCAACTGTAGGACAGCGTGGGTCGCGCTTTCCCGCAATTCGACAGGTTGTTTTCGTTGGTTATGTTCGTGAATTTGGCATGTAGGAAAGTGGGGTCCGTGATTTCCTCCGGTTCGTTCTGCGCGAGTTCGGCATCGCAAAGGCCATGTTCCCAATATCACCGTTGACCAACATCGTCATCACCGCGGCCTTGGGCGAAAACCTGGATAGTCCAACCAATCCTTTGCTGGCGAAGGATTTCCCAATCAGAGCTTGTCTCTGTAGGGGTCCTTGCAAATTCATATGGTTAGGTGATCTTAGCCACCGATTTTCGCGGCTCGCCTGGGTGCCCAGGTGCCCAGGTGCCCGGGTGCTTTATAGCCTTATAGTTCTGTAGCGTTATAGCCCTGTAGCCCTTTAGCCCTAAAGCTCTAAAGCCCTATAGCCCTATCGCCCTAGAGCCCTATAGCTCTGTAGCTCAATAGCCCTATAGCCCTATAGCCCTGTAGCCTTATAGCCGTATAGCCCTATCGCCCTAGAGCCCTATAGCTCTATAGCCCCCTAGAGCCCTATTGCCCTATAGCCCCATAGCCCGATATCCCTATAGTCTATAGCCCTCTAGCCCAATAGCCCTATAGCCCCATAGCCCTATAGCCCAACAGCCCAACAGCCCAATATCCCTGCAGCCCTATAGCCCTATATCCCTATAGCCCTATAGCCCTGTAGCCTTATAGCCCTAGAGCCCTAGAGCCCTAGAGCCCAGAGCCCTACAGCCCTATAGCCCTACAGCCCTATAGCCCTATATCCCTATAACACTATAGTCCAAGAGCCCTATAGCCCCATAGCCCTAAAGCCCAACAGCCCAATATCCCTGTAGCACTATAGCCCAAAATCCCTGTAGCCCGATAGCCCTATATATAGAGCTAAAGCCTTATTGCCCTACAGTCCCATAGCCCTATAGCCTTATAACCCTATAGCCCTACATGCCTATAGCCCTATAGCCCTATAGCCCAATCTCCCCATAACCTTATAGTCCTATAGCTCTATAGCCCTAGAGCCCTATATATTCATAGCCCTGTGGCCCTATATCCCTATAGCCCCATAGCCACATAGCCCCATAGCCAAATATCCCTACAGAGCTATAGCCCTATGGCCCTACAGCCCTATCGCCCTACATAGCCCTATAGACCTTCAGCCCTATGGCTCTATAGAGCTATTGTTCCATAGCCCTGTAGCCCCATAGCCCCTATCGCCCTATAGCTCCGAAAAAGACTTTGATTGTTTTTCTCCGGTATCATGAACTAGTAAGCACCGTTTGTGGAACAAGGTCCGACTCACGGCCACCGCTGTAAGGTAGCGACGCAGCGGACTGGCTTGATAACGTGTGGGCGGCGTTTGAGTAGTGCAGCTACTAGAACGCTTGTCGGATGAGGAGGGGGAGGAAGAGGGATGGCAGGAGATCTCAGTGGATGGGGAGAAGGAGGAGGCGTTAGCAAGCTTGGCTGAAGCCCGTGGGCTGCCTTTTCCCTGGCAGTCCGCTTGGCTGACGACGGTCGCTCGCTTGGCGCGTTAGGGCATGGCGGGCCGCGGGTCTCTGCTCTGCCGCTTCTGCCTTGACGCTGGCGACGAGCCGCTGATCAGCCCTTGCCCGTGCCGGGGATCGCTCGGACGGGGCTAGGACGAGGATAAGGCCGTTCCAGGACGTTGCGGAGCGGTCTCGGAGAGCGCTCTGGAACGCTCTGAGAAGGCCGCGGCGCTCGAGACATCCTCATGTCGCATCTCAGAGATTCTCGATTTATCCTCACCCGAGGAGGAGGAGGAGGAGGAGGAGGAGGAGGAGGAGGAGGAGGAGCGAGGAGGAGGAGGAGCGAGGAGCGAGGAGCGAGGAGGAGGAGGAGGAGGGTGAGGAATTTTATCCTCGTTCTGGGCTTCGTCTTAATCGCTGGCGCTGGTGCACGCCTCGTGCGCGCTGGAGGCGTCGAGGGCCCGCGGGCGCTGGTGGGACGACGCCTGCCCGACGTGCGGGCACGCGTACGAGGGGCCGCTGGCCGTGCAGCTGGGCGAGGCCGCGCTGGCCGCGCTGTCGGAGAGAGAGGACGGCGTCGGGGGCCTCGAGGTGGACACCAGCCCCAGTGGGGCGCTCCAAGAGGGGCCCTTGCCCTCGCGAATAGAGGGGCCCTGCCTTCGCGAATAGGGCCTGTTCATGTCATTGTTCGTTTCCCCAGAGTCGGGGGTGGGCAGACCTCCTACCCTGGCACGTCGATTAAGGAACTGGCCGTTTTCGGTTCGCGAGAGGGCGTCGCGGCCGTCATTTTTGCGGGTCCAGGTCCGTCGGTTTCGGTCCCAAGCTGTTTTCACTAAGGGGAGGTTCACTAAAGGGAGGTTTGTCCACCCCAATGGTCGGGCGAAAAGAACTATGCGCATGCACCGGTCCTGGCCAGGCCCATCCTTGGCCCCCAGATCGGTGCATATGCTTTCCTGGCCAAGGCAGGAGGGCGTATGCACCGACCTTGGGCTCAGGATGGACCTGGCCAAAATCGGTGTATGTGCATGCTTCTTTTTCCTCTACAAGAAGGGCCCTGCCTTCGCGAATAGGAGGAGTTGCCATCTCTTCCGCGGCGGAAGGGCGGCGGAAGTATAACGAGGCCGTTTCCCGCAGGCTTCCGACGGCGGAAGGCGGCGGAAGTAAAAAATGGGCTTCCAAGAGATGAACACGTTTTTGGGGTTCAGGGTTTCCGAAATCTCGGCGTTATGCCTCCGCCGAGGGGGGATGATCCCGGTCTCGGTGCTGGTGGTAATGTGCGGACGTCCTAGGTCCTAGGTTGCCGAAAGATTACCACCAGCACCAACATCTAGGACCACCTTCTCCACTTGGAGGCACCTCCTGCGTTGGTGTTGGTGCACACTTACGGACCTTCAAGGACAGCGGTGACCCAGAGGGTCATCTGCCAAGGGACGCCCAGCTGATGCTCAGAGGATGGCGAGTTGAGACAGCGGCAGTTGGCCTTCGGAGGGCACCCTCGTCGCCACGGTTGGATGCCGCTCGGAAGACTTGTGCGTCTGGACCCCAGGAGGGGTCCCTGGACCGATCCCAAGCTGACGCTGTCTCATTTCTCCCTGCTCCGGGATGCGGGCTGCCGTGCTGGGGAACCTGGCCAGCGCGTGCGGCAGCGTGGGCGATCACCGCCGACAGCGCGAGCTGCTGCAGGAGTCGCTCCTCGCCAAGGAGGCCCTCCTCGGGCCGGGGGACCAGCAGGTGGCGAGCGCGTTGGCCAACCTGAGCAACGCCTGTGCCTCGTGCGGTGACTTCGAGGAACAGCGCCGCCTGCTGGAGCGTGCGCTCGCCATCCGGGTCTCGGATGCCAGCGCTCCGCCGGCAGACACCGCCAGGGTGCAGGCGCAGTTGGGTATGTGTTTGGGCCATCACGGTGAGTACGCGAGGCATCGAGTAGGGGATCGCTTACAGAATTGCTTTGCCGTAGAATGCATTATCCGTGGAGTTTGCGAACGACTGCGTAGAATGCTCTACGGAGCATTCAACGTGTTCTTCGTAGCGTCGACGATCAAGGCATTTTTGAGGAAAATCAATTCTGTAGTCGATCCCCTACTCGAAGGCAGTGCGAACTGCTAGAGGAGTCCCTGAAGACGATGCAGCTGGTGCATGGGCGCGAGAGCCCCGAGGCAGCGGACATCCTCGTGAATCTGGGCGCCGCGTACGGGTTCGTGGGCGATTCGCGGCGGAAGCAGGAGGTGCTCGAGCGCGCCATCGCCATCCTGGAGCGCGTGTACGGCGCCCAGCATCGCAAAGTCGCCATCGCGAAGTACAACCTAGCCAAGGCTTGCCACACTAATGGCGACGCCAACAGAGCGCTAACACTGATGGACGACGTAGTCGTTGTGTTTGCGGAGTGCTTTGGGCCCCAGCACGATAATACACAGAGCGCGATGGGTGCCGCCCGGCTGTGGCGGCAACAGGTCGGCCTTGCTGTGAAGCCTTGGCGCATACGGGTTTGAGCCGTTGATGGTCCGTGCCAAGGGGTTCAAAGGCGCAAGCGCCCTCTTGATTCTGCACCCGTCGACGATGCCAAACTGAGTCTTGGTTTTAACCGGGGACCAACAAGGCTGGATCAAGGCGGTACGCGCCACGGCTTGTTGGCAGTTGTCGTCGCGAAGAATGGCACGAGTCGACACGGAGCAGCGGTCGATGCCAGATCATGTCGCAGTGTGTCGTGGAGCGTTGTTAGACGTTCGAAGGACTTTTGCGCGCAGACCTCGTTGAACGAAGGTGGCCGACGCATCATCCACCATGGGGATTCCGTTGCGAAGCGCTGCCCGCAGGCAGACGCTTAAGCGGGCGGAAAGAGACGGCCGACATCGAGCCAGGGTATTTTTGTCCACCGCGCGGTAGGTGCGACCTGGACATGACGTGCTTCTTGCTGCAAGGTTCTCTTGGCCGCGCCGCAGTCAGGGTTGCCAGATAATGCCATACTTAAGTCGGGCCTGTCCCTCTACAGGGGGAATATTCAAACATAGTCAAACACAGCCTGGGGACCATTTTTAGTATGTTTTACCATTTTGGTGTACTGTTTGAGTATTTCTTATTTGTCGTCGAAATCCCCCTGTAGGGGGACACGCCCGACTTAATGCCATACCGATCAAGGCGTGAGCTTCGGAAAGAAAAAACATCGGAAGCATATATTTTCGGAGATCCGCGTGGACTTCTTGGACTGGCGCTGGGACCCCCGTGCGGCGTCACCAGCGCCGCCCCTGGTGCGCTCTGCTCGCCAGGGAGGGGGGTCCATCGCCGATCCAGGACAGCTGCGCGGACGTCTGCAGCTTGTGCCCTTGCTGCTTCTTATGAGCTCGCCTCGTTCTCTCGCCTCAGCCCGTGGTGCCGCGTAGTCCACGCCGCGGGCTGCGCTTTTGGCGCCCTGCCTGCAACCCTGGGAGTGCGGCAGGTAAGCTTGTCGGGGAGATTGCCGCGGCCTGCACCCCCGGCAGGGGCCACGGCAGGGGCGGATCGGCTCAGAGGGCGACGTCGGCAGTTCGAGCTCCGAGGTTGTCGCGCTTTCGTCGCTCCTCGGCGGCTGTCCACCCTCGGGATGCGTGCCAGCAGCCTCGCCTCGCCGTGAGCGTGCAAAGGGGTGCCTGGATCGTCCCGAACGGTCGCTGGAGGCCCGAGGTACGGCCCCAAAGCCACTGGGGAGTGGTAGGCTCAGCGGGACGCTCATCGACCCCCACCAGCCGCCCCGTGATCGCCGATGCGGGCTGGATGGGCCACCCCGCGCAGGACCGTGCGGTTTCGTTATCGGGAGCGCATCCCCGATCTGCCGGCGACGCATCGCCGTTTGCAGGTCGATGCTCCCCCATCCTGAGCCAGTCCCCGCCGAACGTTCCCCTTTACTAACAGCATCAGGCTAGCTAGATATCGATGGGGAACCCTCCTCCATCTCAAAGGAGTCTGGGGATTGTCCTGCCTCCTCCTGCCCCCCCGTCAGCATCTTCCGCTCGTCGTCGTCTTCCTCGTTTTCCACCCCTGCGACTCTCCTCCTCGCAGGAACGGGGGGACGGGGGAGTTGGAGGCAAGGGTAGACGCTGCTGATGTTGCTTCAGTTAGTAACGAGTGGCGGCGATGACGATGGCGATGCCGATGACGATGAGTCTGCTGATGGTGGTCATGCCGATGTTGCTGTTGCTGGTGATGGTGACGGCGATGACGACGACGATGAAAATGATGAAGCTGTTGTTGTCGATGATGGTGATGTTGTTGATGGTGGTGATGCTGATGGCAATGATGATGATGTTCATGGCGATGGTGATGCTGCTGCGGCTGATGATGCTGAAGGCATTGATGATGACGATGATGACGAAACTTATGCTGACGATGATGGTGGTGGTGGTGATGATGACGTTGACTATGATGCGTATAACGATTATGATGAGTATGATGATGATGCTGATGCTGCTGCTGTTGCTGATGCTGATGCTGATGCTGATGCTGTTGCTGATGGTGATGATGGTAGTGATGGTGATAAGGATGACGCTGACGATGCTGACGATGATCATGACGATGATGATGATGATGATGATGATGATGATGATGATGATGATGATGATGATGATGATGATGATGATGATGATGATGATGATGATGATGATGATGATGATGATGATTATGATTATGATGATAATGATGATGGTGGTGGTGTTGGCGGTGATGCTGATTATGCTGATTCTGATGCGCATAATAGCATAATGAAAATGATGCTGATGCTGATGCGTATGCTGATGTTGTGAATGAGGCTGATGATGTTGATTGTGATGAGTATGGCGATTCTAATGAGGGTGAGCCGCTGGATCTCCCCAGGGGGGGGGGGGAACCCCCCCCCCCCCCCCCTTCCCCGATCCGTCGTCGGGGACCCCCCCCTCCCCCTTCCCCGATCCGTCGTCGGGGAACCCCCCCCCCTCCCCCCTTTCCCCGATCCGTCGTCGGGGACCCCCCCCCCCCCTTTCAAAAGGGGGGGGGGTCCGACCCCCCCCTCCCCCCCTTTGGCCGCACCCCCCCCCTCCCCCCCTTTCGCCACGCCGCCCCCTGACTCCGGAACCCGACCCCCGCCACCCCTACCCCTAGTCCTCACCCTTTCCGAAACCCCTAATCCGAACCCCAACCACTAACCCCAGCCCCAAAGAGTGCTCACTACTCATTACTCACTACCCACTACTGACTACTCGCTATTCGCTACTCACACTACCCCTACTCACTACTCACGACTCACTACTCACTATCCACTATTCACTACCCACCACCCACTACTCGCTACTCACTACTCCCTACTCACTACTCACTACTCCCTCCCTACTCACTACTCACTCCTCACTACCCACTACTCAATAAACACGACTCACTAAGCACTACTCACTACTCCTTACTCACTAATCACTATTCTTTACCCACTATCCACTACTCACTACTCACTACTCATTGCCCACAATTCACTACTCACTACCCACTACTCGCTACTCGCTACTCCCTACTCCCTACACAATACTGACTACACAGTACTCAGTACTCACTACTCGCTACCCCCCATACTCGCGACTCAATACTCACTACTCACTCCCCGCTACTCACTACTCACTACTCCCTACTCACTAGTCACTACATAGTCGCTAGTCACTAGTCACAACTCACTAGTCACTACTCACTACCCACTACTCACTAAACGCTACTCACTACCCACTATTCGCTACCACCTTCTTACTACTCACTGTTCACTACTCCCTACTCACTACTTACTACTGGCTACTCCCTACTCGTTACTCAATAATCACTACCCATTACTCACTACTGACTACTCTCTACTCACTACTCGCTACCCGCTACTCGCTCCTCAGTACTGACTACTCGCTACCCCCTACTCGCTACTCACTGCTCAACAACCCACTGCTACTACCCGCTACTCTCTATTCATCACTACTCACAACTCACAACTCACTACGCCCTACGTGCTACCCAGTATTCACTACTCACTACTCACTACTCGCTACTCCCTACGCACTGCTCACTACTCACAACTCAGGACTCAGTGCTCACTATTCACTACGCACTACGCACTACGCACTACTCACTACTCACTACTCACTATTCACTACTCGCCACCCACTACCCACTACCCACTACTCACTACCCACTACTCATTTCTCCCTACGTCCTATTCAGCACTCACTATTCGCTATTCACTACTCACTACTCACTACTCACTACTCGCCACGCACTACTCACTTATCAGTACTCACTACTCACTATACACTACTCCCTACTCTATACTCCCTGCTCCCTACTCGTCACTCGCTACCCACTACTCACTACCCAATACTCACTACTCATTACGCAGTAACTCACCACTCACTACTCACCACTCCCTACTCCCAACTCCGTCTTCCCTACACACCTTTTCTGGCGCAGAAAGGAGAAGGAAGAGAGGCCCCCCTTCCCCGGCTCCGTTTCCGGCGCAAGGGGGAGCGGGGGGGGTCCGAACCCCCCCCCCCCTTTCCAGCGCCAAGGGTGGGAGGGGGGGGGGGGGTCCTGACCCCCTTCCCCCCTTCAAGGGAGGGGGGAAGAGGGGGGGGGGTCGGGAACCCCCCCTTCTCCTTAAGGGGGGGAGGAGGGGTGGGGTCCGGACCCCCCCCCTTGAAGGGAAGGAGGGGGGGGGGTTCTGGACCCTTCCCCCCCTTAGTGCCTCAGTGTATTCAGGGAGATCCACTGGCGCACCTTCGATTATAATGATGATGGTGATGCTAGTGGTGATGATGCTGATGCTGCTGCTGATGAGGATGCTGATGAATGAATGCGGCGGTAGCGACGACGACGGCGACGACGACGATGATGATGATGGTGATGATGATGGTCGTGATGGTGATGACGATGGTGATGATGATGATGATGATGATGATGATGGTGATGATGATGCTGCTGATGATGATGGTCACGAGGATGATGACGATGATGATGATGATGATGATGATGCTGACGGTGAGGACGATGGTTACGAGGATTAGGAGGCAGAGGAAGAGATGGGGGGAGACGCGGATGAGGGGAAACGGCGAAGGACGTGCGTAATCAATGGTCTTCGCGACAGCCCACGAGGACCTTCGGAGGCTACCCGAGAGGGCTTCAGATCGCCCTTAAGTTCCTGAGAGCGTTCCGGAAACCAAAACATGTTGTCCCAGAGAGCCCCCGCTGCCTCCAATATGCCCCCCACTGTTTCTTGTGACTCGTGGGCCTGGAGCGGGCAGTCGGTTCTTTAAATGGGGGGGGGGGGGGGCGTTGCGCCGAAATCGTTTCGGGATCAGGCTGTGGGAGTCCCAAGCAGTATTGCAACATGCACCCGCTGTGCTGTGCCGTTGACTTGTCCTGATTTGCAGGTCGTTCTCGAGAGGAATACATAGGGAGAGAGAGAGAGAGTTACATAGATCATGAATGCTAGAGAGAGAGAGAGAGAGAGAGAGAGAGAGAGAGAGAGAGAGAGAGAGAGAGAAGGAGAGAGCGAGAGAGGAAAGAGAGAGAGAGGGGGAGAGATACAGGACAAGCTAACGGGAGTCCCGTCGGCTGTTGGCTACTGCGTTAGCCAAGGCCGCCATTGCACCCTTAGCGGTGGTGCCCATTTTGGTGTACGGGGGGCGTTGTAACGACCACCCCCTGGCGTGAAACGACTAATGTAAAAAGGCCGGATGCTGAGCAGGCGATACGCCGTGTCTCTCGGCGCCCCGCGGCAGAAGGGGACCGGGTCGGCATTCGCGGCCATGGGACAAGGGCTAGGCCGCTGTGCGGCTGGCGGAGAACAGGGCGACCCCAGTCCCCGCAGCCAAAAACCGTTGATGCGTGGCCGCGCCGGGAACCGGGCTGGCGGAGGGTGGGCCTAAGGCATGTGTGGGGGCCCTGTACGGGCGCGCGCGGCCCTGAGGATTTCGTGCGGCGTGTGGACCGGTGCCGCCCCGTCACGCGTGAAGTTTTGAGCAGCTCGGCCTCGGGCTGAGCTCGGAGCGTAGCGTATGCGGCCAGTGGCAGATCTGCTGGCGAAGTACGCAGCAAGGTCGGCGCGGCGATCGGCGCCTCGTGCGGCCACTGGTTCAGCCTTGGGGCCACCGCTAGGCGGCGCCGTAGGGCCCCGTGGACCGACAGGGCACGCATTGTC